GACGACCCACCTACGCGTCGGCGTCGTAGTAGTTACTTCGAGAGACGACTCTCGTGTCGTAGAGAGAGAGAGAGAGAGGCGTTTTATGTGTTGGGTTTTGGATGTACGAAGTAGGTGATGGGGGGTGCTGGCGTTGCTTTTAGTTAAAACTGGAATGGTTTTTTATTTTGGAATAAAATAGAAGCATTTACAAGTCAAACTCAATTCAACATTTTGGCATGCACCCAACACGTCTCTCTCTTCCCTCTTTCTCCCGCTCTCTCTCTCTCTCTCTCTCTCTCTCGTATTTTATGTGATCAGTTTAAATGCCAAAACAATCTGTTTTTTGTTCTCTCTCTGTCTCTCCTATTTTATCTGATCAGTTTAAATGCCAAAACAATCTGTTCTTTTTCTCTCTCTAGCTACTTTTAAAACCTCTCTTTCTCTCTCTACTTTTCATATATAAAATACAACTGGATCACCCTGGATTACATGTCAGCATGCATTCAGCTTTGTAGTTCATCCTCGAAAATATTATTTTATTTGTTGCTTCCAATAGAAAAACACTAAAAAGGAGGGCTGCGAAAAGATAAAAGAGGCCCACCACTTGGCTTTAATAAATGGTACTTTTGGGAAGTTCCAACTTTGCAGCTGGTTGGGCTCCATGGGAATTATTCATTTCATGTAAAAAAATAAAAAATCAATGATAGAAAACCCATATTTTATCCATGGAAAATGGTTTAGGAAAGCTTTACATTATGACTCGTCGAAAATTGTAATTCAGCAAAACCTCTACATGAATAATTCAAGCATTAGAAATCGTCTACATCGATAATCTTGGCTTGGACATTTGTGGTCGTGAAAAAAGAAGAAAAGATTACAAGTTTTAAAAATTTGGTTGTTGTAACAAATTATCTAGACTGTTCATTTCATCTTAAAAATAAGTGTTCATAGATCTACAAGATTTGTTTTATTTTTTTAATTTTAAATTTTATTGTCGGTGTTTAAAATTGATTTTAAAGCCATCATAGAAATTTATGTTGCTCAAAGACCTTTTTAGACAAAGATTTGAAGTGAGGCTTTAGTTTGTTTTCATAAAGACTAAGCCTTATAAAAACCTCATCTTTTATATATAGAGGGGTTCATGCTGCAAGACAAGGTTGTTTACCTTTTTCAAAATGCTGAAATCTAACAGTGTGCCATAAAGTTTCAGAAATTTTATCTAAGTAAGACTTGGACCCCGGTAAATAGTAGATTTCCAACTGCTTGATTTCACAGTCTATGGTCGGGAGTGAATATAAGCCTTCGTATATTAAATGTTCTTACAAAGTATGTAATTTTCCTTTCAAAAATATCTAAACATCCTTGGCTATGTTTTTTGGAACATTAGGTCTTCTCTTGTTGCATTAATATCATAATACTATTTCACCTACCGCACTTTATTGTGAACCTAGGCCTTGGGCATTTTAGAAATGGAGCATGAAAGGCATTTTTTTGTGCATGTGGGTTTCCCTTGTTTCAATGAAGCTTAGCTTTTTGGGTCATTTTACAGAGGAAAATGGTTTGATAAGGCTGCAGTTCTATCAAAACAAATAATGCCTCACCTCATACCTCATTGAAAATTGCAACTCAAATATTAGAAAACCTTTACAACTTGGTTTTAAACATTAGAGATCCATTTGGTGTAGTCCACCGTTTGGATGAAATTCGCCTCCAATAGCTTTTATATTTTCTCTTTTCCCGGCGCAACTTCTGCTTCACAGGTCTCGCACTTGGTAGGCGGTGCTCGACTAAAGAGGGAGCTACATTACGGTTGTGGAAAAAAAAGAAAGAAGAGGATTTGAAGCTCTAAAAATAGTGTATATTGTAGTAAATTATCTAGATCGTCTATTTTACCTTAAAAATAAGTGCTCATAGATCCACAATATATGTACCATATTTTGAGTTTAAATTTTATTGTCGGTGTTGAAAATTAATTTTAAAGCCATCATGGAGATTTCTATTGCCGAAAGTGCTTTCCAAACAAGAATTTGAGACGAGGGTTTGTTTTGTTTTCATAAAGCCTAGGCCTAATAGAAACCTCATCCTTTTACAGAAGATGGTGTTGTTTGATTGCTCGAGTATTTCACAAGAGTTGATCAACAAAGCCAAACAAACTTTAGTTATATCCACCTAAAACCTAAAAGCCAACTTTAGTCATCCCCACCAAAAATTCTCAAAGCCCATGCTAAAAGCTTGTTTAGTGGGAAGTAGGCCATGCTTGAAGCAAGGAAAGGTCTTTTCGCTTTATAATAAAAGGGCTTCCCATGTTTTTGTAAGGGAAGTAGACATTGGGAATTTTTTTTTTTAAATATAAAATGATCACAATCAGCTTCGACTGTTATTTATGAAATTTAGGTAGGTAGAAGTGCATTTTTGACCCACCCTCAGAGTTTTACATGGCATCACAGCCATGATTACACATAGGTTCAAAATAATCTTGAAATTGATGATCTTGGCCTTGAAAATTATGGATATTTTTAAAAAGAATTTCAAACCCTAAAACAATATGTCTTGTAGTATATTATCTATAGATTGTTTGTTTTCGATTTTTGATATATTGGACATATCTTCACACTTCAAATTTCATAATTAGGGAATAAATTGATTTTGAGGATATCTTAGGGCGATAGACACTGGAACTTCATTTCCTTGCATTTTCTTGTGAAGTTTGGAGGTGCAACTTTACTTTCTATTTTAATGCCTCAGCCTCATGCTGAGTTAATGTAATGTAGTATGTTTTTGTTCTTCTCTTTGGATAAGCATCACTGGTTCATCAGTTTTGAGGACTACTTTCCTATTCCAAAAGTATTGATTAATGTTTAAATATATGATTAAATTTTTTAATCACACATTTCTCAAGAAGTTTCATCCCAAATAACAAGGACCATAGGATCATGACTTCTAATTTAATATAAAAGAAAAATAGAAAATTATCAGAAATATATCTTAATTTTTAACAAATTAGAAAAAATCCCGCAATTGTCATAAACCTCGTCCACACCTTTTTTTTTTTTTCTTTCAGTTTTGGCATTTAAAATACTTTGAGTTATCACGACATTTTAAAAGCAGTATAAAATGGGGTAGTCATTACGGTACTTAAAGTACCGT